AGAAGAAGAAGAAGAAGAAGAAGACTCGATCGCTGGGACAATTCGTTTATTCGCCTACCGTTTCGACATCGGCCGCGGATTCATCATCAGAGACATAAGTAGGAGACAGTAGCAGACAGTAGCAGCACTGTCTCCTACCTATGTCGCTGATGATAAATCCACGACGGATGTCGTAACGTCAGGCGAATAAACGTATTGTCCCAGCGATCGAGTCTTCTTCTTCTTCCCAAGCACTTAATCGATTGGTTAGAGGACTGGTCAGTCCACAGCCAATCAGTGAACGCCTATATACCATTCTTAATACTCAAATGAGTGGACCATGTCCCTGTGGCTTAGCAGTTAGAGCGCTCTACTTATAACCAACAGGTCATAGGGAAAATCTTCGGTTGTTGGATGCATATGACTGACTGATGAGTGCCATTTAGACAAAAATGATCACTTAAGTCTGTCTTTTCTTTGTCGTTTATGGTCTTCGGTCAAACAAAGCGCGTTTAAAAACTGGTGTTCTCGCTTAACCAAACAGTCATCTCAGCTCAATTAATTGTAATGTGATGTTCACTTCTCCCGGGCGATGTATGTGCAAGTCCTCTTAGAATAACTATAATACTCACGAAAAGGGTAAGGATTCAGCGCAAAAAAGTCAAACGTACTCCAACGGAAATTATTCATATTTCGGTCGACCACTTCGCTGGGTTCCGACGCTGTTGGTTTCGGGTTTTCACTAAGCTTCCCGGATAAGCCTGGTTGTCGTTTTCTGGGACCAACATGACTATCTGGACGAAGATGCCGCTCTTGGGCGCTCGAACGTATCCACTGCTGGCGTCCGCGGGAGCGTGCAACAAAGTTCTGCATTCGAGAGTTGAAGGCTGCTTGAAGGTCACCCACGGCAGGCGGAGATTTGGGTGAGTTTTCGTCTAAGGAAGAGAAAAAGAATGAGAGGAATAGATAGGTAGACAGAACGTGAGCTAACTCAATAAGCCGGGTCTCTGGATTCTAGGAGGAAAGCAATATTTTAACATTAGGGACCTAAATGCCGAAAATGAATCTATTTAATGGTTGAAGAACGAAGTTTATTAGCTTGACGTTCTAGATTCATCTTCGAAGCTAGCATTAAACACAGATAATTCACGTATAAGTTATTACAGTATTTAAGCGATGTAGTTGCTATGCCACCGAGTATAGTTAGCTTTCATGTGGTGCGTTTTTGGTAGCTGATATTCCAGCCCACAATCGCTGAAATTTCCTCACGCGTGTAGGCTTCGTGTTTGCCAATACAAGCAAAAATGTGAGTCTTAGGAAGTAACTGAGAAGAAGCAGATATGATCGCTGAGACAAAAAGTGTATCTGCCTCATTTTTTGGCTTCCATCGCAGACCCATCATCAGAGACAGTAGCCGAAACGGGCAATTCACACACAGTGAGTTGCAGTATTTGCAGAATGCAGTCACTATGTTATCGAAAACCCACAACAAGTAACGGCAGCCCCCCTATCGAGGATAGTTGCCCATTTGTGCACTGATAGCTTGACGAGCGGCATGCGGGTCGTGATCTACTGAATTTTCATCAGCCGTACTGGACTCTGGCGTAATGAGTGTTTGGCAGTTTGACGCCCTGGCGCTGACTTTAGAAGACGCGTTCGCCTGTGCGCTCCCCGAGTGGCGATTGTTTTTTGGCCAAATTGAGCCTCATGGACTTGGCAGGTCGTTGCACTTGTTAACAGGCGGGGGGGGGGTAGCATAAACTTTGGTTCAAGCATTTCGCGCCTCACACGGTTGTCACTTCCCCCGATAATTTCGACCTCGTCAAGTTTGAATACGTGGCTGAGTCTCGTCGAATAAGCCGCGACTTTGTGTTTATCCAAGCGCATTTCTCACTGACAGGGAGCGGTGTTCGTCTGCGCGCTCCCCGCGTGGCTAATTATTCTAATTAAGCTCAGTTGGCGCACGGAGCATGGATGGGGGAGATTATTTGCCATAGCAACAGACTGGGATCACGCCACCTTCGATTGAAGTAGCTCACAGCTCATGCGACTTTCAAACCCTGCAGGAATTTCGGCGTCATTGAACTTGAATGTGTGCTTGAGTCCCGTGAAATAAGCCTCGACCTGGAAGTTTATGTCATTCCTCCACCATATTGTCGCGATTTGGCCACTTAATCGATACCAGATACGGTAAACAAATCCAGGCCCGAACAAACTATCCAATTCCCTGGGTCAGCGGACGCTAGCGACAACAGATGCGACCGCCATCGGGTAGCGAAAGCCGGTCTTCTGTGCACAAAAGAACTTCCTGCAAGCATCGCGCCTGGCATGGCCAACGGTCGCTTAACTGCATTCCTCGGTGTCCTATCTCTTCTCATCCCCCCCCTCTGGACCGACTCCGCCAACCCCCCGCCCCAGCCGTTTAACCAGCCTTTTCTGATCGACCCTCCCCCCTATTCCCAGGACACAATTTTACGATCAGATGAACATTGAGGAGAAGAAAGAAAAGCAGAGTGGGACAAGACTTTTATTAGCCTGACGTTTCAAAATCCGTCGCGGATCCTTCCCCAGAGGAATGAGCAGAAGCAGTAGCAGAAATGGGTTCTAAAACGAACAATATTGACCACACGTTTAACTTTTACCCCGTTCCTATATAAATGTACTGGCCCAATGATAAGCTTAAAAGCTTACGTAAGCTCAGCAACTGCTCCTTTGAACTCCCGATTTTTATTGTGATTGGAGTGTGTGTTTTGGTCCCAGTCCCACCAAACGTCTCAGGGTTACCAATTGGCTGCGTGCAGCTCCAACCCCTCGCTGACGAGCGAAGGCGACTGATAGCCCTCGATACGTTCTTGGCGTACTGACATGTTTGACAAAGTTGGATTCACACACTAGAAATTTTCTGGTCAGTTTAAAAAGTCTTTACTGATTGGTGCGCTTATGAAGGGCTATGTTCTATCCCCGGTGGGTGCTTGATCACGTATTTTCCCCTAAAAGTACAACTTTGTTGCCGAACTGCAACCTCCATTTACATAAAGCACACAACAGTAACGTCACTGCGTGCTGTTAACCAAGCGGCAGTTTAATTATAGCTTTAGAATTTTCGCTCTGTCAAAGACAAATGTGACATGCACCTAGATGGATGGAGTTTAGATGCCACACTCTGCAGGGATTCGAGGGTCTAAAATGCTTCCGCGGATCTCCAGAAACAAGGGTTCCGCTAATCATCCTGATTCGATCAGGGAGCTTTGAGTACTCGATTTAGGTTAGGTTTCAAGGGGATAATGACTCCAAACAACCTCCTCTTTGCGCAGAGGCGAGCGTTGGAATAAGGGTATTAGTCGCCTGGAGTTTCGATACCACATTCGAACCCATCATCGGATATGTTTGATGTTTTTACAAGGGCTCCAATATTTAAAGGATACAGTTAGTCCGCTGCAAACCTTTCACGACTAGTAGCTCTCACAGTCATGGCAGACAGTTGCACTTGGTACAATGATTTCGTGATTACCCACAGCAGAGTCCTTATTTGCAGCAACTTCGTTTGTCCTGTAGAAAATTTAAATTACAATGAATTTATAATGTGGCTAAAAAGCATTGGCAATAAGAAAGGAGTTCGGCACCTTGCTCCCCCGAGGCCAAATCGCTATCAAATCCCCCCTTTTTTACAACTGCTTTCGAACGACGCATATTCCCCTGCGTCGCCATATAAGGATGGTTGGCGGCTATATGGATCAAGTGCTCAGATCGTACCTGAACACAA